TTTATTTATTTATTTATTTTTAAAGAATATCTCTATTTTATTTTTATATGGTGCTGAGAATTGAACCCAGTGCCTTATGCATGCTAGGCAAGCATGCTACCACTGAGCCACATCTCCAGCCCCTCAACTTTATTTATTTATTTACTTATTATTATCTTTTTTWAAAATTTTTTTAATATTTATTTTCTTTAGATTTCTGCGGACACAACATCTTTGTTTRTATGTGGTGCTGAGGATYGAACCTGGGCCGCACGCATGCCAGGCGAGCRCACTACCMCTTGAGCCACATCACCAGCCTATTACTTATTATTATCTTTTTGCTGGTGCTTGGGATTGAACTCAGGGCCTTATGCATGCTAGGCAAGCAATGTACCAACTGAGCTCTATGTCCTCAGTCCCATATTTTTTATTTTGAAATGGTCTGGCTATGTTGCTGAGGCTGGCCTTGAATTTGGGATCCTCCCACTCAATTCCCATGTTACTGGAATTACCACACCTGGTGCACTTATATTTATATTTTTTAATAGAATATAGTATTTTCTGAAGAACTTTTGTACCCCATTCTGATGGTAGGATTAGTGTGGGTACATTGGTGATTAATGTGTGTCTTTTTAACTATTTCGAATTTGGGTGTTACTAAAACAGACTATTGTCAGCTAATCTCACTTTATTGTATAGGTATGTAGAAACTAATTTCAGTTTCAATATCCTATGGATTATCCAATTTAAGGAAAAACCTCCACGAATCTTTTTGTGCTGAAAATGGCAATATGTATTTTTTCTTTTAGCTTAGAAATTCTGGTGTGAGTTTTATCAAACACAAAACTTGAGTCACCTCTCCACTGGTACAAGATAGAAACTGCTATCTATCTACTCAGTTTTTCTAATAGTAGTTTCCTAAATCCTGTTGATTCTTAAAACTAGTTGTCCTTGGGCAAGTTGGCTTGKCTTGGCTAGATTTTGTTTGGCTTTCTTTTTCTTTCTTTCTTCCTTCTTTTCTTCCATCCTCAGGCATCAAGCCCAGCAAGTTGTGTATACTAGGAGAGCACTTTACCATTGAGCTCTTGTCTTTGGTTTTCATGCTATGTTTCCTGGGTTAGCTAGCCCCTTATTGCTTCTGGTGGCTCTACTGCAGTAGGTTATTTTAAAAATATTTTTAATTGTCAATGGACCTTTATTTTGTTTATTTATATGCAGTGCTGAGAATTGAACCCAGTGCCTCACACATGCCAGGCATGTGCTCTACCACTGAGTCACAATCCCTTTAGATTCTTTATTTTATTTTATTTTTTGTAGTTGTATATGGACAGGATGCCTTTATTTTATTTATTCATTTTTATGTGGTRCTGAGGATTGAACTCAGTGCCTCACGCATGCTAGGCAAGCACTCTACCACTAAGCCACAGCCACAGCCCATACAGTAGGTCCTTATCTAGTAATTTTTGCTCTGGGTTTTCTTCTCTAGATCAGGGGTTTACACAGTTGTTAAACTGGCTGCCAAATTTTATAAATAAGGTTTAGTCTGACTAGTCACACTTGGTCACTTACAAATTGTTTATGGTTTTGCAATATCAGCCCAATTGAGCAGTTTGGACAAAGAATTGTGAAATGTGGAATTTTTACTTTATCACTCTTTACAGAACAAGTTTGGTTCATCCCTGCTCTAGTTGTTACTACACAATTCTGCCAAAACTTGTGGTCAAGTTACTCCCTGATTCTGAAACATGGAATGCTTCCCCTTTGGTATCTCCTTGAGCATGTCATTCCCTCTCCCCGATTAAGACACAGATAGGCCACCTTCTGCCACTGTGGTAGTAGTATTCACATGACCTTTGATCGGCTACCTTCGTATATATCACAAGGGTTTGGTTGCTGGGTCAGAAGTGGGGGATATTCCCTGAGCCTTTCAGTTATATACAGTTTTCAGGATTTATCTGGGTGGAAAATATTTTGGTTACAGAAATTCACCATCTTGTTATGGAGAAAATCCACAAAGAACACAAGGTAGTGTGTTTTCAGAGAGAAGATGGAGTCCTTTCCCTTAGTACCATAGTTATCATAGTTGCTTAGACCCAGCCCTTCAGGCACTTGAGACTGAGCCAAGGATGACTAACTCCAAGGCTTATTTTTCCCTGCTTTTTCCTTTTCTGGAACCATTACCCTGTTGACCCAGCACTATGTGTGATACAAAGAAGGCCTCAGTGTCTGTTTGCAGAGTCAACTGAGCTTCTCAGAGGGTCATCAGAGGGCTCCTGTAGTGTATCTTTATATGAGGAAAAGTAGCCACCATTTCTGGGTTTCATGGAATGCTTTCTTCCCTGGCAGGTGGGCATTAACTACCAGCCCCCCACAGTGGTGCCTGGAGGAGACCTGGCCAAGGTGCAGCGGGCTGTGTGCATGCTGAGCAACACCACTGCCATCGCCGAGGCCTGGGCCCGCCTGGACCATAAGTTCGACCTCATGTATGCCAAGCGGGCCTTTGTGCACTGGTATGTGGGCGAAGGCATGGAGGAAGGGGAATTCTCAGAGGCCCGAGAGGACCTGGCAGCGCTGGAGAAGGATTATGAAGAGGTGGGCGTGGATTCTGTGGAAGCAGAGGCTGAAGAAGGGGAAGAATATTGAGTGGAAAGATGAGACTGGCATGCATTCCTTGTCAACTCTTCTGCCACCCCTCAGCATAGGTGCCTTCACATTGTTTACAATTAAAGTTTCAGTATAAACCCTAAATTTTTGTGTGCTGCATAACTCTGTCCATAGGAGTGGATAGGATTTTAGAACCACACAGAAGGCCAGTCCAGGCTCCATAGTCTACTGTACTAAAGAGGGACTTGGGGATTATATTAAGGAACCACTGCCGAAGTGATTTGACCTGATGGAAGTATTTCAAATCTAGTTTCAACCGGGTGTGGTGATACATGCTTGTAATCCCAGCAGCTTGGGAGGCTGAGGCAGGATTCACAAATTCAACTCAGTAACTTAGCAAGGCCCTATGCAACTTAGACACTATCTCAAACTAAAAAAATAAAAGGATTTGGGATGTGGGGCTGGGATTGTGGCTCAGTGGTAGAGCGCTCACTTAGCATGGGTGGGACCTGGGTTCGATCCTCAGCACCACATAAAAATAAAGGCATTGTGTTTTGTTCATCTATACCTAAAAAATAAAATGTTAAAAAAAAAAAAAGGACTGGGGATGTGGATCAGTCATTAGGCACCCCTGAGATCAATCCTTGATAAACACACACACACACACACACACAAAATCCAGTTTCAAAGCATAAAATTTATAAATTCCTAAGGAAACTGAGTTGGATTTTTTCCATTTTTTAAAAAATTTTTAATTTGGGGCCTTCTCTGTTGATGAGACTGAATAAAGCATAAGAGTTTAGAAATGGAGGGCTTAAAATCTGAGGTCTGAGGGTAGGAAATGTCCACAAAATCCCTAAAACTGAGTCAAATGAGAAAGATCAAGGCAATTTGAGGGGAAAGGGATATTAATGAATTCCCCATAGCATGCATGACTCATTAAGTCACAACACATCATTATAACCTCAATGTTGTGTGGCCAGTTGGAGACAGTGCTCTCCTTCTAYGTTCATACACTCAAACCTCTTCCCTAGTATTGTGAACAGTCCTATTAGGGAATTCCACCTCTTGCACTTCAAGGGAAACATGTTGAGCTGTTTATGATAAAGACCTGACAATACATATATCTTCTCTTGGACTGAAAAGCTGGGACCAAGAAAGTCAAGTCACTGGTTTAAGTTACTTGGTTAGTTAGGCTATAGAAAAACTAGGACCAGCATACACCTCATTCTAAATCTATGTACTTTCATATGTTCAGAAAGTGATAAGAGAACATTTGATTTTTTTCCCTTAACACTTTATTATTGAAACTTCCCTCTGATCCTCATGGTTAAAATTCTTACATGTAAATTGAAAAAAAGTTTCTTGTGTAGGATGACATGGACTGGGGATAAGAATGAAAGCTGGAGTCATGCACATTAGAATAAAGGAGAATGGGTATGATGACAAAATAGGTACAAATGAAATTCAAGAATTACATATGCATTTTTACTATTTCCACAGTTCTCTTGTCCATAAAAGTTATCATGAGATTGCAATATTTATATATTCAAATCAATTTAAATGAAATCAATGTTTATAGGTGTTTTGTTGACCCAGAGGGCTGACACATGGAGAAAATATAGGACAATTTTGGTGTTTGAACAGAACTTTTAGTCTAGTGGCTCATTTCAATAAAAATTTTGTTTTTGTGTGGTGGCATGTGCTACTACTGTAGCTGTAAGACCTAAAAAGGGACATATTTAGTTTATAATGTAWTATAAGGACTGAATTGTAAGGAAGTTTTGGGAGACCATGTCATATACTATCTATCCTATAATTTTAAAAATAAAATAGCTCTAATAAAGTAGAATAAAAGACGCCTTTAAAGTCAAAAAGATACCTACTAAAATAAATTGTGTGGGAGGTATAAATRTTTACATCATTTTAAACTTATTTCTGATATTTTCTTGTGGGGAGAACAATGATTTTGATTTTCAGCTTTTTAGAAAGACTTAGTGGAAGGAGATGGCACATAGCCTTTGCTGGGAGAACAATGGTTCTAGCACGCTGGCAATGTAGTCTGTTCTCTTCCTATGTGCTGCTCCTAGAGGTGCTCTTCCCAGGCCCGCCTCCCTTGGGCAGCCTTGTGGCACTGGGTTGGCGGGGCATCCTTTGGCTGGAWCCTTCCCGGCTTCCACGTTCTGCCAGTGTAGGTGCTCCACTGAGAGTAGGGCCGCCTTTGTTTCTCCCTAAGAAAACAACACAACGTTAGGAACCAGGGTAAACGCCATTGTCAAAGCTCAGTTAATTATATTTGTGTTCCTTGAGTAACATTCACGTTAATAGGTTACGGTCTGGGTGCCCCACATCAGTCTGGAGTCCTGTGGCTCACATCTGCCTAAATTAGCACATCCCAGAGAAGCCCTTGACAGTGTGCAGGGGGCCTTCCAGGTGTCACCCCAGGGACAAAGCAGGAATGTTTTGAAAGGATGTATATATTAGAGGTGCAATCAGGGAAAGGATAGCCCTACCTGGTCTGCCCTGGACAGTGTACATGATCTGCCCCTCAGCAGGTAACAGGAGGAACATGCTGCCACCTCCTTCCCAATGTATATTCATACTGTACCGTATGTAACTGCCTTGATCAGATTCTGACAGGAAGTACATTCACTAGAATTGAAAGCAGATTTCTGATTTTGAACATTATTTCTCATATTGTTTTTTCCCTACCTCTATGGACTATTCTTTAAATGCAGTGGTCAAGCCTCTTGTTTTCAGGGTTAGCTATCTGTTCCATAGTTGGATTCCTGCTGAGGTTTGAAAACTTGAAATTGTCCAACTGCTAGATAGTTAACCTGTGATGAATCCCACTAGTTCACATAGTCTTTGCTTTGCATATTCTTTTTTGCACAGAAAGAATGAAAGATCTGTAGCCACACTTGGACCAGAGTTTTATTTTAAAGGGATGGCTTCTCCTGGGCTCAAGATGTTGACAGTATGAGCAAGACTGAGAAGATCCTGTGGGGACAAGACATGACTGGGAGCAGGCTTGCTCATGGGGTCACAGTCCCTCACACATGTAGAGTCTATCTCTTCCCTGGCCTAGCAAGGTATGCTCTGCAGGTTTTGACCAGGATATATGTCCCCTGCTTGAGCCATGATATAGGGTTCCACCCCTATCTCTCCACCTCCAGATTTTTTCCTTGTCCTGATTAGACACAGGATACCCTGGCTACTTTGAGACCCCTGCTTTGTTTTCCCCTGAAAGTATTGAATCTAAGCTTTGAAGATTCCCAGATACTGATCAACATTGTTTAGGTTGTTGCCTGAAATACTAAAAGATTAGTATTTACCAAAAGATTAGTGTTACCAAACTCACAGAAACAAGCCCTCTCCTGTAGCCAGTTTCCTTGAACCTAAGATAAACTGTATATGCTGATCCCCTGGGGTTGGGGACATGCCAAAGTGACCTCTCTTATCACTGTATTTCTCCAGGAACATGCTACAGCCCCTTTATAAATCCCTCTAATAAATACTTTGGATTGATCACCCTGATGATCACCCTGATGTTCTTTCTTTGACATTCCAACTGGCCTCAAGCCAGGGTGGTTTTAGGAGTTCCCCTACTGCTACTTTTGGGGGTAATTCCAGCTTTGGGCTCAGCCCTTTGATCATGGTTTTTCCATGGCCTATTCATCAAGTTTAGCCAAATAGCCTGCAAAAGAAAACTGTTTTTGGAGCAAAGATGCTACAAGGTTTCTTAGAATCCATGAGGTGGAAACCCATGTCTGAGATACTAGAGACACTGGCTCCTGCAACTCACTTTTTATGCTCTAGAATCCTCACCATGAAACTCTCCCCAGATTCTTTTTCTTTCTTTTTTTTTTTTTTTTAAATTTGTAGCATAATATCCTTCATTGATATAGGTGGGGAATTCCTTTAAAGTCTGCTAACAAATTGAATTCAACAGTAGTCAAATTCATGATCAATGTTTTCATCAATATTGAAAAGCTTTTAGAATTTTTTGAATATTGCTTTGCTTTGTATTCATTCTCTGGTTAATGAAGGAATTTTGCATTCCTGAAAGACCTCCATGGGAGGAGGGTAATCACCTAGGAATGTCACTTGAATTCTTCAATTGTGATGAGAGCCTCCCCAGATTCTTGTACAATAGGATGGCCCTCCTTATGAGAATTTCCAGAAAGTTCTTCCTTGGAGAACTAGGGGATCTCTTCTGGTTAGGTTGGAAGGATAACTGTGGTGCCACACTTTGAATGCTGATATCTTGTCCTTGTCTTCCTTTGATTTTTCCCCTGTCTCACCTCCCTGGAGGTGATTACATACAGTTGATCACTCAAGTGATTACATAAAGTTGATTCAATAAAAATGTAGTCACAGGGTACCCACAATTGAGGAGTAGAATAGATTGGAGCATGTGGTAGGGTGAAGTTGGGCTCACTCAGCCTACCACTGGCTCACGAAAATGATACAAAGTAGATAATGGTCAGCAGGAATTTCCTTTGGTACAAGAGGTCATCATTCTTGCCTTCATTGACTGGTCAGTGAGCAAAGATCTTGTCACCATTGGTTGGATGGGCCTTATCACTCTCAGCATCTCCTACAATATGCAAATGGTCATAAGGGGCCACAGTCCCTCTGCACGCTAAACCAGCATATGAAACTTTCTGTATCAGTTAGCCTAATCCTGGGTGCTCAGGTATCCACGTGCTGGCTGCAAGGGATGTTTCCTGACAGAAGCAGAAATACAGCTCAGGGTGGCTCAATCAAGCTCGCTCCCAGCAACTGGCAGGGCAGGTCTCAGACATGGGCCTGACTCTGAAGCCAGCTTTTCCTCTTGCTCTGAGTTTCCTCCTTGTCAGGATAATGACCAGGTCCACCTAGAAGATGAAGGATGACAAGGAAATGGAAAGGGACAAATCATGCCCATCTTTACATCTGACAGGGTCAATAAGCCCAGTGTAAYATGAAAGAGTGAACAGGTATAAATCTAAATCATAGAACACATTAAGAAACAGTCTAAGACTTGGGGGTATAGCACAGTGATAAAGTGCTTGCCCAGCATGTACAAAGCCCTAGGTTTATTCCTCAGAATCACACACACAAGAAATTTATATAATTATATATATGTGAGATAATTAAATGGATTTTTATAATCTATGTATTATATATAATACATATACATTTTTAATATATATTCACATATATATATATAAATGCCAACCCATTTGTCCAGCTGTGATTCTTAGAACCCTTCAGGAATCACATACTTTCACTATTAGTAGGGACACTGATCCAGGCCTCCTCATTTTATGTATGGACAAGGAGGCCAAGGGTTTTAGGCCAAAGGGGAATGGTCTGTAGTGACATGATAGAGAAGCCCTTACAGTGCAGAACTAGTTTTATCAAGAACAGTGGGGTTATTAAGGGTTGGTGGAGTGGGAGGGTGGTGGCAACTTATGCTCCCAGGCCTGGTCACTTTTAATGAACCAAAAATAAACAAGAATCACTGAATGTTTAAAATATCCTGCCTAGTTCTCTTCAAACTTTCGTGCCACTCCTACCCCTAAAACCAGCTGGTGATCTCTCAGAATTTTATGATCTCCTATAGAAGCAAACCCCAAAATGTATCAGTCTGTCAGCTACCCTGTCATGGTTTGGTGACATCCAGAAGCTAGGGAGTGGACCAAGTTGGAGTGGGATCCACTCTGCCATTTATCTTTTGAATAGCCTTTGTGAGCCCCAACTTGCCAACCCCTATAAACTTGACTGGCTGACTAGGCAAAGCAGGTAGAGAATGAGGATTTATAAAGATCCTTGGTGTAGCCAAGCATGGTTGTGTGCRCCTGTCTAGCTACTTGGAGGCTAAGTCAGGAGCCCACAAGTTTGAGACATCTTGGCAACATACTGAGACCCCATCTCATGAATAAATAAATAATAAATAGAAACCTAGTGTGTCCTGCTTTTCTCTGTTGGTCTAGGGAGGCTTGTCTCCTTTCTGAGTGGGAATGCCACCTTATGGTGACATGGGTCAGCAGGCATTGGTGTTAAGGAAGGTAAAAACAGGAGTGGGCAAGGAGAGGTAAGAACTGAAGAGAGGGTAAGAAAACACTACAGGATCCTCTTCAGGAGCATGCTGTGGTGAGGGCAAGTAGCATCAATAAGTCTATATCACACTGATCAGTGGCAAAATAGCAAGCCACCCCAAAACCTTCTTTAGCACACAAACTTGTGTCCTGGTAGAAGCCAATTTGGTTCCCCAGGCAAAGGGCACAATCTTCCTTAAGGCAAGAAAATCACAGGTCTGTGCTGTCACCAGCTACTACTGTTGCTCTCTGGCCACAGTAGAGGCCTACCTGATGCTTCCAGAACACATACAGACCTAGTGACAAAGACATACATATAGGATAGATGCACCCATGTGTACTCTTAACTTAGTCTATACTTGGGAAGGCGTTCTTTCATGTGCATGTATCTAGTGCCCCTACCCCTGGGCTTGTGCACGCATGCACAAACACCCACATCCACACACCTTTCCTTGGTGTTGCTGGAAAAAAGTGTTACCATCTAAGTGCTGAAGCAATGCTGTCCAACAGTAATATGATTTGAGCCACATATATATAATTTAAGTAGCCACATTAAAATGAAAGTCTGGGGTTGTGGCTCAGCGTTAGAACACTTGCCTACCACGTGCAGGTCCTTGGGTTCGATCCTTAGCACCACATAAAAATAAATAAATAAATAAATAAATAAAAGTATTGTGTCCAACTACAACTAAAAAATAAATATAAAAAAAATAAGGGCTGGGGATGTGGCTCAAGTGGTAGCGCGCTCGCCTGGCATGCGTGTGGCCCRGGTTCGATCCCCAGCACCACATACCAACAAAGATGTTGTGTCCGCCAAGAACTAAAAAATAAATATTAAAAATTCTCTCTCTCTCTCTCTCCTCTCTCACTCTCTCTTTAAAAAAAAAAAAAAAGATAAAAAATAAAGAGAAAATGGGAAGTTACATTCAGTCAGTTATTTACAGTACTGGGGATTGAACCCAGGAGTGCTGTACCACTAAACTACATCCTCAGCTTTTTTGTATTGAGACAGAGTCTTGCTAAATTGCCTAGGTCTTGAACTTGAGATCCTCCTTCCTCAGCCTTCCAAGTCAATGAAATTATAGGTGTGTGCCACCATAACCAACTAAATTATGTATTTTAATTAACCCAAAATATGCAATATATAGTCAGCCCTCTATCTGTGGTTTCTACATCCATGGATACAACCAATTTGGGATTGAAAATACTTAAAATAGGGGCTGGGGATGTGGCTCAAGTGGTAGCGCGCTTGCCTGGCATGCGTGCGGCCCGGGTTCGATCCTCAGCACCACATACAAAGATGTTGTGTCCGCCTAAAACTAAAAAAATAAATAAAATAAATAAATATTAAAAAAAAGAAAATACTTAAAATAGCCAGTGTGTTGGTGCCCACTTGTAATTTAAGCACACTTGTTGGTGCATACTTGCCTCAGTAAGAGGATCATAAGTTTGAGGCTAGCATAGACAACTTAACCAGACTCTGTCTCAAAATTTAAAAAATTTAAATAGGGCTAAGGGGCTGAGGGTGTTGCTCAGTGGTAGAATACTTGTCTAGCATGTATAAGGCCCTAGGTTGGATATCCAGCACCGACAAAAAAAGCGGGGGTGCTAAGGATGCAACTCAGTGGTATAGATCCTAGGTTCAATCCCTACCACCACAAAATAATAAAAATAAAATTGGAAAAAAAATTGCATTCTTAAACAATATAGCAACTACTTACATAATATTTATATTGGATTAAGTATTCTCAAGCTGATTTTAAGTAAACAAGAGAGCTGGGTATGGTGGCATACATCTGTAGTCCCAGATCCTCCAAGGACTGACACAGGAGGAATGCCTGAGCTCAGGAGTTCAGAGCCAGCCTAGGCAACATAGCAAGGCCCCATTTCTAAAAAAATAAATAGAGGCTCAGGATATAGTTCAGTGGTAGAGTGCTTGCTTAGCATACATGAGGTCCTGGGTTCGATCCCCAGCATCATCCAACAGACACACACAAACACCATTCCTTTGAAGAAGTGTTAGATAATTTTTATGTATATTAAAAAAGAATAAGTGTGGGGGGGCTATGGTTGTAGTTCAGTAGTAGAGCGTTTGCCTGGCATGTGTGAAGCACAGGGTTCGATTCTTAGCACCATATATAAATAAATAAAGATCCATTGACAACTAAAAAAATATTTTAAAAAAAGGATAAGGGAGGATGACATAGGTTATATGCAAACACTCTGCCATTTTATATAAGGGACTCAAGATTTTGGTACTTATGGGGGTGTGCTAGAACCAATACCCACAATACCAAGGGACAACTGTATTATCATTTCAACGTGTAATCAGTATATAGCCATGAGCTGTTGCATTCATTTTTGTACCAGTTCTTTGACATCCAGTGTGTCTTGACTGCAACAGCCGTACATGGCTCATGGCTCCCTTACTGACAGCACAGATCACATGACCCATCTTCCACATACCAAACCTCACTCTACATGTTCTGGAGGGACATATTTTCAAAACGTATAGTTTCCCTAAMCCCAATTAGAGAACATTCAACTGAATTTAATTTCCCCTCAATGACTACAGGCCCTCACTGTGACCAGCATTCCCCATCTGTGTTTCTGTGTTTCTGAGGTCTTATGTTTCCCCCTTCTCTGCTGGGCATGGATGAGTCCCTGCAGGCTTCCTGGATGGCTAGGAATCCAGACAGCACCATCGTACTTGTTGTGATTTACAGACTCAAAACTCCTGAGTGGGGCTCTGGCCCACGTGGCCTAGAGCACCTCCACACTGAGTTCTGTGGGAAACCTAGGGCAAGTTAACCCCAATGGTTCCAAACTCTGTCATCCCAAATGGATCACTTTGAGCATTCATATTTATTCCACTATATATTTTGTCATTTATGAGGTAGCTGGAATGTTTGTGTGGGTGGATGCTATGACATATAGGCCTTAGAGATCTCTATCTCATCTGGTGGCCCCTTGGCTGCAGCATACTCCTGGCACAGCCCTACCTCTGCCTCACTCCTCTGTATATCCTCCCCACCAACCAGCCACCCCAGTCTCCTCTGTCCCCCTAGGCATCTTCTCAGGTCCTCCATGTCCTCCCAGGACTGGGGTCTAGTTAAGCTTACAGGATTGAGTCTTTGAAAGCCAACAACCCTGTAGGGCCCAGCACTTCAAGCCACTCCTGTTCTTGTGCTGAGGCTTCTCCCCACTTCCCTGGGAGCCCCCATTCTTCCTCTCTGGTGGGTTATTAAACCCAGGAGAGCTTTACTACATCCCCAGCCCTTTTTATTTTGAAACAGGGTCTCACTAAGTTGCTGAGGCTGGCCTTAAATTTGTAATCCTTCTGCCTCAGCCTCCTGAATCTCTGGGATCAGAGGCATGCACCTCTGCACCCAGCTGAGCCCTCATGCATTCACACAGTGCCTCTGCTCCCTGTGCTTCACCCCCACATATATTTTGACTCTCTATGCTTTTTCTCCCTTTTCCTTCTGCCCCAGGTTAGGCCATGCTCCTACCAGTGGCCAGGACACAACACAAGACATACCACTATCCTGCATCTCTGCCTCACTTTGTTCAGCCCTCTCCACATCACACCATCTGCAGGGCTGCAGAGGCCCTGCCTAACTGGCCCCTCCTGCCCCAACCTGCTATGGTAGTGCTGCAGGTTTATAACTGAATGGACCATACCTCTTTCTATCTTCATCATTGTAAGTTTATCTTCTTTCACTGGACCCAAAGCAAGTCCATCTTATCTACCTTCTGGGCCTTCATTGGCAAGAACTGGACCTGATACCTGGGGTTACTGATTGAGTGAGCAGCAATGTCCCTTCAAGTGAAAGAGACCCTGTTCCCAGTCTCTCCTTCCCAGTCCCTTGGCCCTTCCCCACCCTCCCTGGGCCTGAGCTCCAGGCAGTATCTGGAATCTGGAGAACACAGAGGGAGGGTTTGCAGGAGGGTGCAATCAAAGCACCCTGAGGCCTCACACACCATGCTCTGGGCATCTGGCAATACCCAGAAGATACCCCTGTCCAGGATGAGAGAGGAAAGGGGACTCAGATTGCAAGTATGACTTATAGGACAAGCTTACATCACTGTTATGGTACTGCCAAGGGGGCTGGCGGAAGCCATAGCATCTGTATTATCTTCTAGACTACCTATCTAGGTAGGGGACAGCATCTAAGAGGCTGAGATGCTTCTCATACCTGAGGTTGTGCTCCCAACACTATGCCATGTTGCCTCTTCCCTGCCTCTCAGCCTGTTGTCCTCCCCTGGAGTGGAGACCTTTACAGTGTAAAAGTCTTACCCACCAGAGTTAGTCTCTGGGGCATAGAGGTATTAGCCCCACCCCCTGACTAGCCTAACTACATGTTCTAGAAGTACTGTATCTTTAGTAAACTGAGTTAGAGTGGCCTGGCACTAAGCTGCAAGGCAATAATGGCCTGCACATTCTGCCCTTGCAGTTCAAAGCTGCTCTGGCCTCACATGTGCCATGGCAGTTTCCAAGGAAACAAGAGAGCACACCAACCCCCAGAGATAAGCCAATAAACACGACCTGCAAAAGGAGAGAACAAGCAGCAAGAGAACCSGAGGGAAGCGGGGGGCCCTGGAGAGAGAGGCGAGTGCGTGGCAGCTGGGCCGTGGAGCAGAACCGGAGAGGCCGTAGGCCGCAGGGCAGAGGAAAATGAGGACCTTGCAGGGGGGCTACTGTTCCTGGCAGAGAGAAAGGAGGCCTCTGGAAGTCAGAGAAAGACACAAAGAGAGCAGACAGAGGGTAGGTAAGTGAGGCGACCTGAATGCCAGTGCCTGGGGCCTCTCCTGGCTCAGGCATATGGATCCCCAGGGCCCTGGCACTACTCCCCTCAGGGACCTGCCTGTGTGGCTATCCCAAGTGCTTCTAGGCAGGAAGCCAGCCCTGGATCTCCTTTCATTTGCCTGGAAGATCCTGCTGAATTTCAGAGGGTTCCCAGGAGCCTCTCCGGGRCAGAAGCAACACACAGGGAAGATGATCAAGGACAGTGGATCCATGGTGACATACTCTTAATCACCAGCATCTGCTCATTCCCTGTCATGATCAAGAAAATGAGGAAGCCCTTGAAACTTGAGTACAGAGGTGCTCCAGTAATCCTTGGAGGGAAGCCCGGCTGGCCAGGACCCTGGCCTGAGCTCAGGCCAGGGTGAGGTACAGGCAAGGGGGAGCATGCCCTGGACTATGTACACTTCCCTGAAGGTTTTAATGCCAGGACAGGTAACAAAGCCATCTTAATTCCCATGCTTGTGGAATGAAGGCATGAGTGAAGAGGCGAGAAGATGGGGCAGGTGAATCCCAGCCTGTTTGGAACACCCTAGGGCCCCCACTCTGCAATCATGATCTGGAAGTGCACTTCCAAGGGTGGCAATCGAGCCAGGGCCTTGAGTCTGTGGATGGCCCTAAAGGTTCTCACAGGAGACTCACTGGCAGGCATCGCCATTCACGGCTAAGCCTGGACTGTCCCTTGACACCTCAGCCACCGGGGAGAGGAAAATGGGGCCCAGCTCTGACCTCGGGTCTCCGACACGCCSGACGTGGGCAGAGACAAAGCCAAAGGGTCCTGGGGATCGCTCGCCAGCCTCTGYCCGGCACACATGGACTTGAGCATCTGGAAGACGGCGAGAGGGGCCACGTTCAGATTCAGCAGGTCCACCAGGATCCTGGTGAGAACAAAAGTGATGCTCAGTGAACCCTTCCCGCCACAAGACAGGCCTGCCCTGGAGACCCGACACGGGCTGCGGGCTCTTCTACACCAGTGGGTCCAGGCTGGGGCGTGGGGGAGGCCAGGAGCCGGGGTGTTTGCGGGTCGGAGGAGCAAGAAGTCAACACCCGCGCCCGCTCACTTGAACACGTCGGGATCCATGGCGGCGCCAGCCGCCTGCGCCAGCTCATACAGCTCCATCTCCTCGGCGCTCAGCACCTTCTTCCGCCGCAGCGCGAGTTTCTGCAGAGTTGCAGCCTCCAGAACCGGGGTCGCCCCGAGTCCGGGACCTCCGCCGGCAGCCGCCATGTAAGCTGCGGGTAAGAAAGCGCGCGCCCTGACYCTGCCCACCCGGCCGCCGCTCCGCCAAGTCGCAGTCGGACGGGAGTTCCCACAGCGCCCTCTACCGGCTGCTGACAACCATCCTTCTCCCTGCAGCGTCCTTGCACAGCCAACTAGACTTCCCCAGTTCTGAGGGCTGGCATGCGGGGCCGTCTCACGGAGTTATTCGAGCCCTAGACTTTTATTGAGGGCCCACTGTGTACTATGTAGTGTGTTAGGCGTGTGGATGCCATAGTGGAACACAGATATTAGCTTCTTACAATCAGATCTTCCCTGATAGACTGCATTGATCTTGCTCACTAACACAGCAACACCTAGCACAATGCCTGGCTTAGAGTGGGCGCTTCAATGTCTCGTGTAATTGTATTTTGGCGTATGTCCTCCACTAGGGGGCGCTCCTAGAGAACACTAATAAATGACCTCTGTGCGCACGCGCACTCTTGGCAATGGCTAAACAGGCGTTAGGGGCGCAGATGCTGCAACTGCGCACGCGCGTTCAGGACCACCTCCCTTACATCTCAAACCCGGCCGGCCTTCGCTTTGCGCACGCGCCTTTCAAGGTAGGGGCACTTTTCCCGCCCGGCCAGGAGGCGTAACGCCCTGCGCATTGTGATGACGACATTTCGGCGCCGGGTCGCCGAATGGCGGCTTCCATACCTGAGGCCAGCGGTGATAGGGGTCCCACAGGTGAGTGACRGGAAAAGCGCGCGAGACAGCTCCATGCTCCGTCGTCGTCGTTGTCCTCGAGCCCTCGCCGAGGCCGTCTCCGTTCTTTCGCGAGCCCCGGGACTTGGACCGGGCCCCGGCTACTCAGCCTGGGCCAGGCCAACAAGGGAGCCAAGGCTCCCGTGTGGGCCTTTATGCCACTCTCCTGGGCTATACCTTTATTCCACCTTCTTGCGCACCCCATCCCGGTAGGTGCTCTGTTAACGTTCGTTGAACGAAGTGAGGGAAGGAAAGCTTCAAGTTGAAAACTGAGCCTTGTGAGCTGGGGCTGGGGCTCAGTGGTAGAGCGCTTGCCTAGCATGTGTGAGGCACTGGGTTCCATTCTCAGCACCACATATAAGCAATTAAATAAATTAGAAAGGTCTGTCAATAACTAATAAAAGATATTTTTAAAAACCTGAGCCTTGGGCTCAACAGTGTTGAAGAGCCAGGTGTGGATCTTGGCCCAGCCTTTTTACTTTGTATGGTTCGACTTCTCCGGGCCACAGTTTTCTCCTCTGTAATAGGAGACTCTTGATACTTTACTCCATAGAACGTTGTAAGGAACAGATGAGGTCTTATCAGTGGCGCTATAYTCTAGATCTGATTGACACCGGCTGAGGACTGCCGCCACCAGAAACCCCCAGAGTCCTAGCAGTTCTTGAAGAAAGTGGGTGTGGAAGGGGTGGGATGAGGCGAATTCTTGGTGCACTGCGCGCGGAGGGGTGTAACGAGGGGACCATGGGTATAGGAATCTTTGCCCTCTTGGAAAGATCCGAATTTTATAACTCTGGGCTACATTTTTTCAGTCGTTGCCTAAGAAAGCTTCCTCTGAGCAAATATACACTTTCACTTCACCTCGAAATCTCTGCTCTTATGAAACAGTTCACAATTTTATGTCGCCCTGATCAATTTGGAGTAATGCAATGTTCCCTTTAACCAAGTAGGTCAGGACTGAGGTGATTTCAGTTTTCCACTGAAACTGATAACTAGTGTGAATTGAAATAGCCTGGGGGGTATTTCTCTTGCCAAGTGGCAAAGATTTGAGTATCCTCTCAGCACCCCAACTGCCTACATAACTTCCTTATGCCCAACCAGTCTCCTTCCATATATAATCTTCCAGTTGTCACTTCAGCTTCTTTAATTGTGTGCTGGGCAGAGCTATGCTAGGAAAGCTGTCACTAGCCATTTGGTGGGACTCTTCAGGCTTCCTCTGTGCTCAGTCCAACTCTGTTTTCTGTTTTCTTTTCTGGGAAGAAAGTATGAATCTAAAGAGCCATTCCATTTTTTTTTTTTTCCAGAGACACAAAGGTTTATTTAGGAAAGCAGAAACATTCAAGGGAGATTGCGGTCTATCTCACATTCTGGGCCAAGAAGGGAGAGACAGTCCCATTCCTAATTTTTATTTTTATTTATTTATTTATTCACTTGGTACCAGGGATTGAACCCAGGGGCATTTACCCACTGAGCCACATCCCAGAGCCCTTTTTATTTTTCAGAGACAGTGTCTTGCTAAGTTGCTTAGGGCCTCATTAAATTGCTGAAGCTGGCCTTGAACTTGCGATCCTCCTGCCTCAGCCTCCTGAGCTGCTGGGATTAAAGGCATACACCATTGCGCCTAACCTCCCTAATTGTTTGATGGCCCATTCAAAGGTTCCCTTGGCAGAGTTTGCTCTTCTCTTACATTTGTTCACTGTACAGAGCACCAGTGATGTGTTTTACCCATCTGTCTATGAGAGTTCTGCTATTTACTAGCTAGGTGGAGGCAAGTGACTTAGAACCTTTCTGCCTGTTTCCTCGTCTGTACTGATCTCGTGGGTTGTTGTGAGGATGTGTTTACTATTCTTGTTTTACAAACTTAGCAGCATAAAACAGCATCCATTTTGTTATCCCACAGTTACATAATCAGAAGATCAGGCAGGCTCAGCTAGGGTCTTTACTTTTATCTGCAGGCTCTAGGGAAGAATCTGCCTCCAAGCTTATTTAAGTTGTTGGTAGAATGCAATTCTTTGGAGTTATAGAATAGACTTACTAGTTTTGGACTGCTCTTTTATCTTAAAATCCWCTGAATTGGGACTTTTAATTGCATCTGCAAAATTCCTTCACAGCAGTACTTAGATAAGTGATTGAATAACCAAAATATAGGACTTTGGAAGGACTGCCTTTAAGGTAGGATTAAATGACGAAATATATGGAAAGCCCTGAGAACCAGTTCTGGCATCTAATATAAGTGCCAGTTCTGACATCTAGTAAGGATTCACTACCACAAGTGTGGCTCTGAAGCTGGCCATCAAACTGTATGAGAATGGCATTTCTATAAAACATGGAAATTGACAGGGCAGCATGTGTTCAGTTACAYAGATGTTCTCCTGGGCATCTTAAAATTGCATAACATTCTATTGTATGGCAAATACTGAGATTTTGTCTTTGTTCTTCCACAGTGGTTTCCTAAGGCAATCATTTTTGACTCTCCACAGGAGRCTACCATGGCATTCCCTCACCTACAGCAGCCCAGCTTCTTACTAGTAAGTATCAGGTACATTTGGGAGCATTAGATTAATGATAGTTCTATAGCAGAGAGACTTGGGAGTTCTTTCCACCGATCTGAAGAACTTCAGTGGTTGTTTTTAAGGGATGTATGATGGAAATAACACCATACTTAGGGGTTAGAATGCTTAAGCTTGACTTTTCCTCCTTATTGGTATTATAGGACTTTGAGTTTATGCAATCTCTGAACTCTTTCTTATCTACACAATGCTACCATTCAAATTTAGATGCCATTTCCCCCTACTTCCCAAAGCATGAGCAGGAGTAGTGAGAATGTACATCAGAAAACAKAAATGTTGTCAATGAGAAATGGGGAGACCCTGTTATATTGGGGGTAGTTAGGACTACATTTAAGTGTTAAACACGATTCTAGAGAAGTTAGTTATAAAGCAGATATCAGAGATGAAGATTTCTAATTTCAGTTCCCAGAGAATTCTTTTTGTAAACATCTATTTGAAAGGACATTCTTCCTTGGTRCACCCTACTAAAGCCAGTAGGCCTGATACATGGCCTGAATAGCCCAGGTCTTCATGAGTGAGTCCAGTCCAGTGAAATCCACCCTAATTTGGCTTTAGACATCCTTGGGTATAAAGCCCTCTTGTTAAAATTCTGGCATCTCTTCCTGATATGAACGTATTTGCATAGAGGTCTATTTTTATAGTTAGGGTTCTTTGCCCATATCCCAGGACCTTGGATAGATTTCCTTGGTTCTTATCCTGAATGTTTGCTGATCTCTTCATTTCTTTCATGGTTAGTGTTGACGACAGTTTCAGGCTGCCATATTTTTTAAGGTAATGAGTCCAGTAGATTCCTTAATATTAAGAGAGAAACTGAGCATGGTGGTATATATCTGTAATACCAGTGTCTTGAAAGTCTTAGGGAAAAGCTCACAAGTTAAAGGCCAACTGTATCAACTCAGTAAGACTATCTCAAAATAAAAAAAGGGCTGGGGATGTCGCTCCAAGGTAGAGTGTACCTGGGTTTAATCCCCATATTGCCAGGAAACAAAGAGAAAAAAACAAAAGCCAAGTGTACTGGTAGATAACTATAGTCCCTGCTACTCAGGAGGTTAAAGCAGGAGGATTGCAAGATCAGAGTAACTTAGTAAGACTTCTGTCTCAAAAAATAGGGCTGGGACTATAGCTTGGTAGCAAAGCACCCTTGGTTTAATCCCTAATACTGGTGGATGGGAGTGGAGGGTTAGCTGGGCTTGATGGCATATTCCTGTAATCCCAGCAGCCCCGTGGACTGAGGCAGGAGGTTAGGTTTGCAGGTTCAAGGTCAGCCTCAACAATTTAGCAAGGCCAAGGCTTTTATTTTATTGGGCATTCTCACTGATGATCTCAGTGCTATAATCATGAGTGGTTAATGAGGTGAGAATTTTCCAATTCATGTGTACAAACTCAGTGAGTACTTGAGAACTGTGAGAGGTACCCTACATAACACAARTCCTCTCCTGGCTGTGTGGGCTGACCCTGGTAGGAACCTCTGCTTGTGGGTGAGTGGAAGTCAGTTTCATTTTGACTCTGCACTCTTGAGGTAACAAGATGCCTAAAGGAGGATGCTGGGAAGCAAGCCTGAAAATTACTGATCTAGAGGAGTATAGAATTAAAACTTCTTTCTTCCAATAGCATTATTTGAGCCACTGATACACACAGGACCATGTGCATGAGGTGTCAGGGACCAGGCCAGTGGTTGTATAACTCATACTATTGCTTAGATTTCTGTTATGTGTTTATTCATTTTCATGTGGTGGCAGGGCAGTACTGGGGATCCAATCCAGGGCCTCACAC